GAAAGAGTTATGAGTCACTCCTTCTTGTTTCTGTATAAAGCTTATATTCAATTCACTTTGCCATAGGTTGGAATAAGCAAATATGTCATTACATTCTTTACATTTATCTGAACTTCTAGTCTCTGGCTAAGAACTTCTATTCTCTGGCTAAGAACTATCATATTCTGGGAGGATCTTTAACTTCTCACCTAATAACATCTTCATTTCTTTCTTCACTTTCAATACTAGCACCAGCTTCTATCACCAGAAAGCCATTGGCTTTCTTTTAGGGGGCATTTTTTTTTTATACTAAGAAATATGGTCTTTTATCATTTCATGAGAGTAACTGCATATACAACATTGAGTAAAGGACAAGAAAGCCCCATTAAAATGAGACTGCCATACTGTTGGCCAGGCCTAATCATTGGTGTACAAGATGGAAACTTGCCTCTCCCAGAGTAACAATTCATCACATTGTGAATCTTTGTGATTGTTCATGAACAAAGTCACAAATATCAAAGTTGCTAATATCAAGGGCTACCATATGTTATATCAACTATATTTTCCTGCACTGTCCATGTTGAAGACATGCTGGCTTCTCCTTATTGTTTTGAATGCTACTCTAGAAGGTCTGGATCTGGATCCTGTGTGGCAATTTCCATTCCTATCATATGTTTCCAGTGCAACAGCTTCTCTTCCTCTTTTCTCCTCGACTCAGTCCCCAGTCTGCTCTGCTTCTTCATCATTGTTATATGTGTAAAGTTGGCTGACGCTACATTTGGATGTACAGGAAAATGTGGCTTCTTGGCTTTTCTATTCTTGACCAAAGCTTTGTGAGCCCCATCTCATTGGGAGGTGGAAAAGCAAACTTAAACTTAGCTATTCATGACATATAGTCTTTTTGAACTTAAGTAGACTTCCTTCAGTTTAAATCACCGACTATCAAACAAATTAAATCTTTTGGATTTCAGTCCCTGTCCCCTACTCCTTCCTAATATGGTGGGGCTTCCATAACCTCACGCTGGAGGAGGACAGAAGGAACACTCAGAATCATGTGCTGTTATTTGGATTCTGGATTCTTGCTGGCTGTGCTGCAGGATGGATTGCTGAGGAACAATGGGTACCATCCAGTCTTTTGGAGTTTGTGGTCCTCACTGCTCATTCTTGATTGCAAAGGCCCCACACATAATGGCCTCTTTGACCCAACCCCAGGCTTCTGTCCACCCATTTGTGACCCCAAGTGGGACACACGGGAACTTATAGATCCCTGCACCTTACTGCTTGCCGCGGGGTGTCAAGGCACTGCCTCAGACTCCTCTATCTTGCAGCCTCCTCTATTGCTGTTTCACAGCTCTCTGGGCCATATTCAGGGCTTCTCTTAGAGGTCTGGGTCCTCCCCCAGTGATCCGGGGCAAGCGTTCCATTGGTGCCTCCCTGTCCCATGATCTTAGGCTTCCCTACCTTAGATGCTTCTGTTGCATCCCTACCTCCACCACCTAAATTTAGCCCCTGAAGAGAAAGCTAGAACAAAAGCATCTGGTCTTCAAACTTTTGTTTCTTTCTTTCCACCTCCATTGGAACTGGAAGGGGTGGGCTCTGTTTTCTTCTTCCTCTGTGGAGGAGACTTCTCCTATGTTATATTCTCCTTCCTGAGGGACATTAAACTTCCTGTCTCAACCTTAACATTGGAAGGGCATCTTCTACACTACGGAAGAAATTCTGTGATTTGAGCTGGCCAGGTATGGTTGGGAGTCCAAGATGACTAGAGACTTGGGATCACAGAAAATAAAAATACTCTGGTTTGATAATTCCAAAATATTGTATCCATTATACATGACACAATGTTCTGGATTCCTCTAGGGGAAATTCTGTTCCCACAATTAATCATTCTAAAAATAACAGCTAATATCTATTGATTGCTTATGATGTGTTAGGCACTTTTCTAAGATATATATTTAATCCACATAAAATCCTATGATGTGAGTACTATTATTATTTCCCTTTTACAAATGAGGAACTAAGGCCTGGATAAGGAGTAAGGTATCTTTCCAAATTCACATGGTAAGTAAGAATTATTATTTGAACCTGATTCTGTCTGACCGTTCATCCCAGGCTCATTGAGTCTACCCCCATCCCCAGACTCTTTTTTTAACCTGCTGCCTGAGTCTGTTCTCCCCTTAAACACTCTGAATTCTACGTGCCCATCAAACAAAACTATTGCTGTTCTGCTTAGATTCCATCTCATTTCCCCTCTTCTACATCTGTGCTCACTTTGCCTGGAATACCCTCTCCCCACCATTCCCCATCTTCCAGGGTTCTGCCTAATTCCCCCCTACCTCAAACCTTCTGATCTCTATGGCTGGAAGGAACCTGTCTTCTAAACTCTTTTCATTTTTGTCCTTACAGTGTCTCTCCAGTATCTCAACCTCAAAATAGAATTAATCATATATTATTTCGAGAGTCACCTTCAGATTCAGGCTTGCATCCCCATCATTTTTGTCCTTCACAGCAGCCAGCCGTGAGACTGGATGAATAGGTGGAAGACCCTTTTGTGCACACACTGGACCATCCCTGCAGCAGGGTTTGGTGAGAGGATTATGTTGGGAACTTGGTTAGAAGCTGGATCCAGAGCTGGGAACTTAAGGTCAGCATATAATGAGATTCTGGAGACAACCTCTTTCATCTCAGCCTGTGACTCATATTTGGGAATTCAGTATACAGAGTCAACAAAGGGATGCAAGGATGTTGTGTCTACATGGCCTTCTGTTCCAAGGGCTGACCTCTCTTCTTCTTGCAGGCAACCCCCATGCCTACTTCCCTGTTCTGTAATTACTTATTCTTTCTATGTTCCAGTGAATCCCTCACCTCTTACCAATTTGTTATATCTGAAAAAAGTGCCAAACACACTTTTTTCACACTAGTTTATCTCTTGGAAGAATTGCCCTGTTTTTGGCTTTCTTTGAGCATCTGTAAAGTAGTAAGTGGTTCAAGCAAGCCCAGGAGGCAATGTGTGGGTTGGTTGGCATACCTCAGGAGAGAGGCAGACCTGCTGACTAGAAGGCATTTGGTTCCTGGGAGGCACAAAGAGTGACTGCTGCTTAGGGTCAGCCAGTAGGAATTGTGTGAAGATTGCACGTTCTGTCTTGGGTGGCCCCAGACTTATTTTGTCTTTGAATGTGAGCAAGCCCCTTCTCCCACTGCCTGCTTTTCCTGGGACCAAGGTCACCTCTCATCACAATCTGCTTTCCCATATGGCTCCAGCATTGCTTCCAAATAGCCCCATGTACATTCAAGGCAACTATGTTCAGATTTCCCTCAGTGGGGCATTTCTCTTACTAAGGGAAAAGAAAGGCACGAGCAGCAGAGAGGCCCCCACGTAATTTTCTCTGGTTTCTCTGGAATCCTGGAGTCTGGATCATGAAATCCCTTGGATGGGATGCACTCTTGTCTCGCCAGAGGAAGGGAAGGTATCTTTTGTGCAGCTTAAGATTCTCCTGGGAGGTCAGAAACCAGCTTAAATAGACGTGTAAGCATTTTTAGTGGGGGCCCCCTCCTTTGGACTCAGGAGGGCAGTTACTGAGTGCAGTTCACGGGACCAGAGTGAGACCTTGGGCAATGTTCTGGCTCTGGCAAGTGTTAGCTATGTGTCCTTAAGCAAGTCATTTCCTCATTTGGAATTCAGATCTCCTCACTTAAGAAAGGAGTGAGTTAAACACCTTTAAAAGACCTTTTCCTTCTCTAGTGTACTATTGGGTATGTGTCTTCTTGAGCCCAAGGGAGAGACAATGGTTAAACTGAGGAGATAAGTTTCAAACCATCATTTTCACCTAGAAATAAAGCTCACTTAAAATTTTCTGATCACCTCCCAGGCATGTCATATTTTCCCCTCATAAGTCTAGAATTGGTTTTTATGCCTGAAGGGCCAAAAATCCATCTTCTGATTTCTTCAGTTCGAGAATCAACTTATTATAGATGTTGGATGCCGAAAGAAAAATCTCTAATAGCGTAATCACAAAGAGATCTTTTCTCTTATTCTGGCGGAGGAAATGGATCTGTTTTGCCAAATGAGATTCAAATTTCAATATATAATAATATGCATAAATGTTTACATATCTTAGCATGTGAAAAGTATCTTAAGCTTACCATCAGTTACTCTTGAGAAAAAAAGGGTAAACACAAGCACAATTAATTTATTACCTTAACACCAGTTAGAGGAATGAACAGTCTCCATGCAAACAGCAGTCTTCATTAAACAAACAAGATGGTTTTAAAATGAATAGGGTAACCTGGGCATGGAGTAGTGGTTCTTTGCTTACTTGCAGGCATGGAGACACTCCTGGGCTTTAAGCTTGAGGGATGTAACCAAGACGAGGCTGGTTGCTGGTCTGAGCTGCCACTGTTCCAAAAATGCCTTCAACAAGTTTCTTCTCTTTTTAAGTGTTGAACTGTTTGGATGGCTATTACTTCATTTATATATAAATATGCTAACATATAGAAAAGACTGGTGGAAAATACACCTGAACTCTGTGGTTAAGATTCCATATGTGAATTATTTCATTGATAACATCATAACACTTTTACTCACTGGAAAATCACAAGTACTCACAGATATTTACAAAAGTTGTTCCCGTTACGTTTAAATGAAGGAAGCCTGGTACATTTTAGGCTAAAAAGGAAAAAGGGGCCGAATTCTTCTGACAGACACAGTTGTTATACAGTCTACCCTCAAAGACTATTTTGTTTTTTTTGAGGAAGATTGGCCCAGAGTTAACGTCCATTGCCAATCTTCCTCATTTTGCTTGAGGAAGACTGTTGCTGAGCTAATATCTGTGCCAATATTCCTCTATTTTGTATGTGGGATGCCACCACAGCATGGCTTGATGAGCTGTGTGTAGGTCCACACCTGGGATTCGAATCCACAAACCCTGGGCCGCCAAAGTGGAGTGCCTGAACTTAACCACTATGCTACCAGGCTGGCGCTAAGAACCTTCCAAATAGAAGAAGAGTCAAGATGGGGGTAATAAATAAAAATACAGTTATTATATTTGTTAAAATGCAGATAACCCCAAATACTTACTTCCTTGGCTTTAGAATACATTGTGTAATTTTGTCAACTCAGAATTTACAAACCATTTGGCTTAGGCTGATATTAAAGGGAGTTTGCATTTTCTGAGGGTACAATGAGTGGGCTGAAGGTGAGGCTGCTGGGTGGTTGTTGGCTGACACTTCACCGTTGGATAAACAAACCAACAATTAATTTAAGACACACACACATCCACACAAGCAAACAATTAAACAATCCCTTCTCTATAGAAAAGTAGGATTATCCAAATGTGAGTCTTTTGGGTCAATCCCAAACCAGGTACCATTTGCATAGTCTCTGCTTCAAAATGAATCAGGAAGAAATGAGGACAAATATACACAATCACCACAGATGTATAACAACACAAACAGATTTATGCAGGCCTGCGGTGTGCTGTTTGGCAACCTGCAGGAAAGACTGTCAATACTTCTAGGACCACAGGGATGCTGAAAGTCTGGAGGGGTCACTGAGACTCTAAGTTATATCTTTCTGATATAACCCAGGGCAGGGATTCCTTTTTTGCATCAGTGTAGATGGGTTGCACTGTGAAGAGTTCAGGGGTCTCTGGTCCAAAGAACAAGAATGAAAAAGTGGGAGTGTTTTTCCATAATAAGACACAGTGGATGGCATTTCCTTTGTCCAAATAGTGTTCAGTATCACTTATCCATTCTTATCACTTGTATACTTGAAAACACTTTCATAAACTATGACCTCAATGGACTCTCGCAACAGTCTTGTAAAGTAGGCAGAGAAGGTATTTTCATCACCCTATTTCACTGAAGCAAAACTGAGGTGCAGAGGGAGTAAACATCTAGGTCACATGAATCTGAGAGTTAGGATTTACACCAAGGTCTTTGGATTTCAAGTAAAACTCATCTTTGCAAAAGAGGGCGTGTTCTAGAAAAGTGGTCCAGGTCTTAGCAAAATGGCCACACAGATTATGTTCATAGCCATTGGTGAGCTCCATCCCTTTTTCTGTCTCTGCCCTCCCTGACACTAGAGCCCCTGAAATCCTTTACATTAAGGTGTCAGGAACTGGATGCGTTCCTCATTTCAGGATTGTCTGTCTTCACCCAAAAGAATGATGAGCTTTCAAGCATCAGTAGAAAAGAGATCTTTTGGTTCTTTCCTTTGAAATGACTCCATTATAGATAACCAATGACCTGGTATGAAAAAAAAATTCTTTTCTGGCAGCCAGAATCATAGAGAATGTCCTAGGGAGGTAGTAGGAGCTAGGTGGGAAAGCTCAATGTGATGGCATGAACTCTCTTGCCATGAGGCTATAAAGCCTACACTCTGATGAACTTATCCTTACTATTCCATTGTGTCTGACTGCCTTGTTCTATAGCCTGCTGACATTCCTGCACTGATGAGATACAGAACATGGGAAGATGGAGAATGAGTCCAGATACCATTTGTGACCTCTCTCTTACCATCTATACATCTGGATATAGCTTGGTGACTCTAATACCTTCTGCCATTTTGTTTTGTTATTTTAATATTTTTGCACACAGTAGGTTATCAGTAAATGTCAGCTCCTGTTGCCCGTGTCTAATCTCATTGGTGTGGCTTGCACACAGTAGATGTTGAGCAGATATCAGTAAATGTCAGCTGCTGTGGTTTGTGTCTAGTCTCACTGTACGTTATGACCAAGAAGCATCCAGCTCCTCGGGGCAGTGAGGTGTGAACACACTTGCCCTTTCTCCATGCAGACTGTGAACCTGGTTACTGGTGAACTGTGCTCTGAGTACCGGCTTTTGGATTTTCAATCGTGAAATACCAATGAGTCACTTCAGCCTGATACAGTCCACCTCTTCGGTGGCTGGCATGCCGCTGGTTTTGAGGTCAAGGTCAGCACTGGACTTGCTCCCGTGGTGGGAGGGACGCCAGTGGAGCAGCATCATCTTCTTGAAGTACTTCATGGTGTTGTTCTTGACCGTGACAAAGCACACGGTGTTGATCATGCTGTTGCTCATGGCGATGCACTCTACGATGTAGAAGGCGGTGAGGTAGTGCTTCTCCTTCACGAACACAGTGGGGAAGAAGTCGCGCACGATGGTGAAGCCATAGAAAGGCGCCCAGCACAGCACGTAGGCCGTGAGGATGCACATGAGCACCAGAACCGTCTTCCGGCGGCAGCGCAGCCGCTTCCGGATCTGCTCGGTCTGGAAACCAGGGACCGCCTTGAACCACAGCTCCCGCGAGATCCTGGCGTAGCACAGGGTCATGGTGACCACCGGGCCCACGAACTCGATGCCGAAGATGAAGAGGAAGTAGGACTTATAGTAGAGCTGCTGGTCCACTGGCCAGATCTGGCCACAGAAGATCTTTTCCTGGCTTTTGACGATAAAGAGGACAGTTTCTGTTGCAAAGTAGGCAGATGGGATGGCGATGAGAATGGACACCATCCAGACCAAAGCGATCAGGAAGGAGGCCGTTTGATAATTCATCCGTGGTTTCAAAGGGTGAACGATAGCAAGATACCTGGCAGGGAAAGGAAGCCATCAATAATAAAGACGTGTACTTGGAAACATTATTAGTTTTTAACTAACCCCACACACACACACAAAACCAGACAAAATGGCACGAGTCCCCATGTGCCTATTATCCAGTTTCAACAAGCTTCATTTTATTTTAGCAACATCATTTGGCATCTGGAGAAGTGGAGTGGTTTAGTGGAAACAGCACAGGCTTTGGGTCAAACAGGTGGAATGCATCCAGCCTTTCCCCCTGACTGGCGATGGGGTCTGGAGTGAATCAGTCTCTCTGAGATTCATTTCATCACATGCAGCATGGGATAAAATGACACCTACCTTGCAGGGCCGCTGTGAACATTAGATATGATTTTATAAAATGTGTGGCATGTAGCAGGTGTTCAATAAATACATGTGGCCTATTATTAGTAGTATAGTAGCAGTAGTATGCATCTTACTGTTACTCCCTTGGCTTTCAGTATTGCCATTCTACCTAAGAATATAGTCCCTTTGAAACTCTTCATTCCAAATAGCTCGTGGTTTAGAGGTGAGAGAAGGGCTGCAGGTCTCAGTGAGAGGTGGGGGCCTTTCTTAGGGCAGTGGAGCCAGGCTTTCTCTTTCCTCCCCCTAGGTGTCATCCTGCATTACAGAGCAGGAGAGCAGGGGTGAGCTTGGGGTGGAACCCAAGGAATCTAATAAGAAGCAAATGACTTGTCCAAGCTCACCTGGTGCAGGGACCAGAATCCAGGCTCCTGATACACAGCTTCTACACCCACCTCCCTGGGCTGTCTCAAACTCAGATGACAAGGTATGTGAAATCACCTTGACACTGTAAAGTACCACACAGCATAAGGCTTTTCTCCTGCTCTTTCCAATGAGCAACACTGTCTGGAAAGAAATTGGAGTCCTCTGTGGGAAATGAGCTCATTTGTGTAGGTTGAGTATCTTCTTTCCAGAGACACCTAATGAGACCTGTTTAGGTACTTTGGTGCCCTGGAACCATTTCTATGCATTTTAGGCGGGGAGGGGAAGAGGTGGCAGGAGAAGGTGGAGGAAGAGAAGAGGCATGAGGAGCAGGGAGAAATAATTCAACACTGGAAATGTACACTTATGTCATACCTGGAGCTTGAGTCAAGTTGTGACCAAGAGCAGAAAGCTTTCCGTAGAAAATCCTATCCAGTTTACCTTTCCTTTGTAACCAGACCCTTTGGTCACCTTTCCAAGTTTCTCACTCAACCAAGAAGGCCTTCTGCCTTGTTTTTTTCTGCCTGTCCCCAGCAATATTTCTGTGATGAGGTTGTTTTATCTTCTCTTGCCTGCCCCCTGCCCACTGGCAGCTCTGATCTCTAGAATTCAATTAGGAAATCCCATGGCATCATGGCTCTCCCCAGCTTGCAGCTTTCTGAAGATCTGAGATGTAGGTGGACCCCATCCCAACCATTGGCTGCACCCCAGCTGGATGTATTAATATGAGCCGTGGTTGCTGGAGTTCTTCACCCATACATGGGACCCAGCCTTGACCAGTTAACCCGCATGACTTGCCTGGGTGGCACAAAGCTGACAGGGCTGGACAGTAGGACAAGTGGGCTGGCCCATACTTAACTGGGGCAGGGACATCCCACAAATACTGTCTTTCTGTGATGGCTGAGTGTATTAGTGGCTTAAACTTCACAAATTTATTATCTTATAGTTTTGGAGGTCAGAAGTCTGACATGGTTATCACTGGGCTAAAATCAAGGTGTTGGAGCCTTTCTGGAGGCTGTGTGAGTAGTATCTTTTTTTTTTTTACCACCCTTTTCTAGGGCTGCCTGCATTCCTTGGCTCATGGCCCTCTTCCATGTTCAAAGCCATCAATGACCAGTCAAGCCTTTCTTACATCTCATCACTGTGACACTGACATTGACTCTTCTGCCTCCTTCTTCCACATTTAAGGACCTTAACGTGATAACGTTGTGCCTATTCAGATAATCCAGTATAATTTGTTTATTTTAAGATCAGCTCATTAGCAACCTTAATTCCATCTGCTACCTTATTTCCCCTGTGGCATGTAACATAACATATTCACAGGTTCTGGGGATTAGGATGTGGATATTTGGGGGCAGGGTGTGCATTATTCTGTTTATGATGCTGAGTCCAAAGTCCTTAGATAATGCAGAACTCATTCAGGACTTAATAGCTCTCTCTCTCAATCTGGTTCCAGCATGGAAAGTATCTCAATAACCAATGCCAAAGAGAATTTCCACATTCCTGCTTATTCTGTCATCAACTCTTAAATTTGAATTCCTTTTTATCTAATAACATCTTCCTCATTCTGTAAGATGTTCCAAAATCCAGAGTTGTCATAAAATAAATCAGAAAAAATAATATTCAGAAGACTTGGATTCCAGCTGTGCACGTGAATCCAAGCTGTGCACTTGGACAAATCTCTTATGCTCCTGGGACTTATTTTCTTCATCTGTGAAATGGGGATAGTAATTTTACTGACAACCTCTCAGGCTTTTTGTCAAGTTCTAAGAAGGTAAATGTACATAAAGCATCTTGGGAACTATAGTACTTTGTTTAAACTGATCATTTTCCATGACTCCTTCATTGGCTAGAGCGACATCGGCAAGGTCTTTGTTGCCATCTATCTGCTTGGATGTGTTTCTGAGGTCAACACTCTCCTTCTAGGGTCTCTATGACTTGAAACAGCTTCTCTTCCAGGCCCTCTGCACATGAACCTTGCTCTTCTTCTGGTTGTGGCATCCAGAAATGGCAGTAAGTAGCCCTTCTGATATTTTTACGTAGCAGGACAGGCGTATTTTGCTGAGGGATAAACTGAAGTACACAGAGAGGCCTATGCTTCTCCTGGCTGCCTGTGTCAGGGTGCACAGGCCTATCTAATTCCGAGTATGAAGTGGTCCCCATGCCCACAGACAAAGCCCAGATAGCCAATATCAGTGTCGTCAGGGCAAAAGTGAGAGTTTGGCCATCCATCTTTCTTATCATTTTGCCTATTTTTCAATGGGTTTAGAACCTGAGTAAGTAAGGAGTGCTATTTATTAGGCTCCTGCATCATAAGGCCTGAAATTCCATGGGCTGCCTTGACATCTTTGAGCTTCACAGGGCCCCAAACGCCTAGCCATGAGTTCCTCCGTTCTCCCCAGATATACCCCGCCACCCAGTGGCAAAGGCTTCCTGTCCTGCTCCTTCCTCTATCAGCTGGACAAGCTGCACCCCCATCCTCAACCTAATCACCTCCCTGCCAGTTGGCAAAATTATTCAAATAAGCCACTCACATCCGCCTATGGGAGCCAAGGGTCACCCCATCCTCTTGTCACTATGAAGCGTGCCTCCCACAGCCTCTGCTGGTTCATCTATTCCTGAGTGCAACTCCCATGTGTCCCTACATGGTGTACAGTGTCCTCCTTCCCTGGGCTGTGAGTAGATGAGTCTAATTAACTGCTGTCAGGCTCATCTGCCCAGTGTCAAGTGTTGTGCGTTTGCTCATCTTGTACTATTTAGGGCGAGTGAATCCTGCCTTTGGCAATGGGGTAAACAGGAGGTGGTCAGGACAGTACACTTGAATCACAACATCTTCGTCATGAAATATTCCCAGACTATGTCAGTAACATAATGATCACGGCTTCCTTCAAATCACTCTTATCACTTGATTATTCTAGTTTTTGTTGGAAGAAAAGCTTCTTGAGGTCAAAGACTGTATCTTCTACTTTATGTTTCCATATACACAAGTTAAGCACAAAGCAGGACGAGCAGCCTGTGTGGGTCTACCAGGCTTAGCAGACACTTTTGGTACCCTTCTCATATCCTTTTGCTCTTATCACTTCAGTGCACAGCTATCCATTCCCACCTGCCAACACCTTCACTTCTTTGTCTGAAGGCCTTCTCCTGCTTCCAGAGTCCTCTTGGACCTGCACAGCATTTTCAGAGCAGCTCTCACTAATGACTTATGAGAGTTGGTGTATAAATACCCCAGCTCCCTCCCACCTCCCACTCCTGGATGAAGGCTGAGGTGTGATCTATACCTGCTCCAAGTGTTCCTCAGCAGAAATGAGCTCCAGTTGCCCAGAGTGGAGACTTGCTCACTAACATGGCTGTACTGACTGCCTTCCTTTGCCTGCCTCAATTCCCACTCCCGGAGGTGCTCCCTGGGTGCTACCTGCACATGAATCTTTGTCTCAGAGTCTATTTTTGGAGTAAACTAAACTAAGACACAGGTATAAGGCTCTGTGCTAGCTACTGTGGAGACAGAAAGATAGAAGACATGGTTATTGCACTTAAAATATAACGTCTATAACATAGTCTTTGGAAAAGACTATCTGTACCTCCATACACAGCATGAGATTGGAAAAATAGGTTGGCATCAGATTATAAAGGCTCTAGGATGCTGGACTCAGGATTTGGCATGTATTCTGTAGGCACTGGAACTTTTGGAGGTTTTGTAAGCAATGGAATATTTTAGGAAGACTCATCAATGAGTGATATTCTGATGCTTAATACGGATGAGTATGGATCTCAGGGGACAGTGAGGAGCCCCTGAGGGGGTGAAGAGACAGGTTAGAGGAGCATTATAATGGTCCCGCCATGGCTTGCCAAGAGATGAGGTTGAAGGGACAATTGCCAGGACTTGGTGGAGGGCTGAACACAGGGGGGGGCGGGGGGGTGGGTGGGGGCGGGACAGGGAGAAAGGCAAAGAATAATGGTGATTTTCCCTGCTTGCGTGACTGGGAGAATGATGGAACTGCTGGTGGAGCTGGGAAGCCGATGGGGGCAGAACCGGTTTGTGGTGAAAAAGGAACCACCCTTTGTAACTTGTTGTAACAGGATGATTGCTTCCTAAGAAACTCTTGTGTTACCCAAAAAACCCCTTATGTTATAAAGACAAACCTTTCAATGGGACAAAGGGGATGAGACTAGTGATGACTCTCACTTGAGTGAGCATCAGAATCACTCAGGGAATTGGATAAAATTACAGCGATTCCTGAGACCTAGCCCAGGGGAGTCCCATTCCAGAGGGTTGGGGTGGGGCCCAGGAATCTGACTTTGTATCATCTCCTCTGGGGAATTCTGTGCCTTTGGTTGACAGGTACGTTTCATAAACACTGATTTCAGGGCTCGAAAGCCTCAGAGTTGTAATAACAAAATTATTTTTCCTGCAGGAATTATGTTAGAAAAAGGAAGATGCCTCTTATACCTATATGTGTATTTTATTATCATAAATGAACAATAATCAACTGGTTGATGAAAAAGGACAACAAACCTAAATAGCATGAGAACGAGGGAAAAACAGAAGAGATGAAAGGAGACAAAAGGAGAAAAAGATGATTAAAAAACACATCATCAAAATGAGTTTCAGCATATCATGCAACAGTGGACCAAGAGGATGTGACATCAATTGCCTCTCAAACTGAGCTACTGATGGTCTGATGCTGGCCTACAGCTGTTTACATAAATAAGACACATGTCAGATGTGTCATAGCTGCTATTAGAGATTTTACTCTATAAATTTATAATAGAACAAGGGCTTCTAGAACATCTCATGTAAATGTATGCAAATGAGCACATGGATGTATGCAAAAAAGCAAAAGCAAGCATGTCCTTCCCTCTTTCCTGCAAACAGGCCCTGTTGTCTTATTTTAAAATCAGCTGTGCAACAAAATCACTAGAAACAAAAGTCCACACTGTACGATTCCATTTTCATGAAGTGAAAGAACAGGCAAAACTCAACTACGATGATAGAGATCAGATGAGTGGTTGCCTGGGGTGGGAGGATTGACTGGTAAGGGGCACGAGGAAGTTTTCTAGATGATGGAAATGTTCCATATCTTGATCTGGGTAATGGTTACAGAAACTCTTGGCACATGCTGTCTTGACTGGAAGCTGGTTAACTGGTTAACTCTCACGTGGCTTCTAAGTAGTACTACCTGAACTTACTGCTTTTGTCTTTGTGTTTGATGCCACTCACGGTCATGTGACTGCCTATATCTGAAACAGATGTAGTGTCTTGGGTCATGGCCCAGAGCTGGGGGGCTTGGGAGCCTCACTCTTGCTCACATTTGGGAGAACATGACCCACAAGTGGAGAAACCTGGTCTCCTCTTGCCCCACGATAGATTGGCAAGCATTCACATTTGGAGCAACGCCAACCTGCCAGAGCTGAAGGGAGGAAGGGGCAGCCCGGTCCAGCCCCCATCTTAACCTCTGCCCAACATCCTTACCTGTCGATAGCAATGGCCAGCAGGGCATTGGTGGAGACGTAGAGTGAGACTGTACGCAGGTAGTTGACGGAGGCACAGAGCACGTGGCCATGCTCCCAAGAGAGCTGGCGCACCACATAGTAGTCCATCTCGAAGGGGCAGCAGATGATGGCCACCAGGAAGTCAGAGATGGCCAGGTTAGCAATGAGCAGGTTGGTGAGGTTGCGCAGCTTCTTATAGCGGGCAAGAGCAGCAATGAAGACAAAGTTGCCAATGCCGCAAACAAGCATGATGCCTGCCAGTGCCACCCCGATGACGATCTTGGCTGCGAAGAAGGTCCGAGTCTTGGTCATGTCCTCATCTTCATCCAGAGGGAGGTCGTAATCACCATAACTGAAGTTGAAGGGGAGGGAGGAGGCATGGTCTTGGGGTGGATTGAAGTTGGGTGCAAAACTAGTGTTTCCATTCTGGGCTGCCATGGTGAAGCTTGCAGGTGGAGTGGTGCGTGGGAATTTTGGGGGTCTGAGCACTCTGAGCTGGCAGTCCAGACTTTCTGCTCTCACAAGGTCTAGCACCCTGCCCACATCCTTGGGGAGTCAACATGCCATCCGGGATCCTGGAAGGAGACAAAACCAGTGGACAACATGCAGGAGAACACCTCGTAGCATTCCCCCAGAGTTCCCCAGTCACAGGCCAATCAGACCCAATGCCTACCCACAGACAGAACTACCCAGGGTCCGGGGGAGAGGAGACATGAGATGTGGAAGTTAGGAAACCCTCCACTGGCTATGCTGCTGTCAGGAGGGACTGGGGATAGGATGGACTGGACTCTCCAGAGACACCAAGAAGAACGTGCCTCTTTGCCCTGTTCCCAGGGGCCAGAACCAGTTTGATTGCCCAGTGTCCTCCCCACCCTATTAGCCCTCACAGTAGTCTTCTGGAAGCTTTCCAAGGCTGCTCCAGGCAGCTGGCCCAGGATTCTATGGCACCATCACTGCTGCACCATCCACTGGCCAGGGACAGTGAGCCAAGGGACTGGCATACAGCAGGGTCTTTCCTCCAAAGCAAGGCACTGCTCCCTCTGTCTCCGCCAAACCACAGACTTGGAAATCACCAAATCTATTTTCACTTGAACAGGTTGAGTCATCTTGGGCCAGTGATTTATGCTCTCTGAATCCCAACCTTCCTGTAAACCAAATTCCTGCTGCCTAGCCCAGGACTTGGCACATGGTGGGGGCTGGATGGGAATCTGCTGAATGAATGAATGAGGATCCTGACAGGATTTTGCAGGCCGGGGAGGCTGTGGGTGGGAGGGAATTCTCAGGCTGCTCCTCTGAGTTTTGAGAACCAGCTCTGGGAAGAACTCCTTTGTCTGCTTCCCCTCCCTGCCCCATCTTTTGATCTGCTCCCTTGAACCCTTCACCATGCCCCCAGTTCCCCTCCCAGAATCAGCTCTGACCGAGAGGCACCATGTTTTGTCACCAAAGTCTGTGTCCTCTGAAAGGGTGGCTGCTCCAAGACCTGCCTTAACTGAAAACAGCCCCCAAAGGGAGGGGGCAGTGTCAGCGAGGACCAGGAGAGCCTGAGAACGGAACTGTCCCTCATTGCCTAAGTCCTTTATATTCTGGGTGTCTCGAGACGCCCACGGGAGACGAAAGAAAGTCTCTTAAGAGCTGAGCCCTCAGACGACAGGGCACCATTGGGCTCAAGGCGTCCGAGAAGCTGGAAAAAAGAACCGGGACCCCAGCATCCACGGAAAGGGGGCCCGAGCCGTCCAGCCACCAACCACCTTCCCCTCCCCCACCTCTTAGAACCCCTAGAAACGACTCCAAGTGTGGGGGCCACAGGATGCTGGGAGCAGGAAGCGGACCAAACTGGACAGTAGGTGTGACCCGGCCCTGTGAAAGGAAGGGGAGGGCGTGGGACAGGAACTGCCTCCGGAGGGGACAGCAGTCGTAGGGTGGCAGGGACACTCTAACCTGCGGCGCGCTCGCCTGCTCCGTACACGAGGTGAGGCTCACGATCGCAGCGGGGGGGCGACCTCCCTCCGGGTCGCCTCTCGTCTCACACGAGCCCCAGTCCCCGCAGACAGTGCTCAGCCCGACACGGAGAGGCGGGAGTCGCGCCCTCGCGGCTGTCCAGTCCCCAGACCCGAGAGCAGAGGGCGCGGGCCCGGCGGGGGCAGGTCCCCGCCCCATTTCTGCAGGACGCACTCCCGGCCCTGGACCGACCCGCTCCAGGAGCCCTCTTGCCTCCCCTCGTTTATTAACCTTGCAGCGCCGTCCCCGGAGGCGCCGCCTTAGCAGAGGCGGGAGTCAAGTCAGAAACTCAGGCTCCAAAAGCAAACTGTGCGGGGCTTCTGGGCGGGAAAAAAACTGGGGGCAGGAGAAGAAGGCGGTGAGCTGGAATTTTCCCAGAGGCGCTTCCTCTTTTCTGCTCACCTTTCGGGCAGGCGCCCCCTACGCACGCCCTCCCCTGCAATTTGGCGCTCGCTCGCGAGTCCAGGCTGCCTGCTGCGCCCTCCGCCCGCGTCCGCACTTCCTAGTCCCAGCTTGCGGTCTCCTACCGGGTCCGCGCGGCTCCGTAGGGTTGTGGCGGAATCTCCTGGCACCAATTCGTCTACTTCGAGCCAGCCGGGGCGCATCCCGAGAGTGGCAGGAGGCAAAGCAGCCCGCGTCCCCAGGAGAAAGAAGTGGGCGTCGGAGCCCCCAGCCCCTGCGACAGCCCCCGCGCCACCCATGGAGTCCTGGGACTGCGCCCAGCTCAGCACGTACCTGCCTGGGCCCGTCGTCCCCGCGCGCTCCTCAGCCGGGGCGACCGGAGCGAATGGTGCGGGTCGGGTCGCCCGGGTCCCACCTCGGGGACCTGGACTTGCACTTGCGGAGGCACTGCGTAGGGGCTGTCCTCCTTTCCTCTCGCCCCAGCGCGCTGGCCGGGCGCGTCGCGGTCTCTGTCTTCCCGCTGGAGGTGGCGCTCCGCCCCCGCAGTTCTTCCTGGCGGCTCGGACCTGGCACAGCGCGCCCCGCCCGGCGCTCGACTCCGCCCCGGGGTCCCTCTCCTGCCTCCGCGCCGTGGCAGACGATGGGTGCTCAGCTCCTGCACGGGGTGCGCCCAGAGCGCGGGGCGCACGGAGCTCTGGCCGCGTTGGTGCGTACCCCCAGTCCGCAGGGTCTGCCCCTCGCAGGGGTTTCTGCGCCCTCGCACCCCGTGTGAATGGGATCGCAGCAGCCGGGTTTAGATGGTGCGATTTCGAGGAACCGGCAAGGTCCTCTGCTCCCCGCGGCGGCGCCCCGGGGGGGTCACCCCTGCGGGAGCCGAGTGTCCACTCTCTGGCAGGAGCTCAGCACCAGCGTCCGTTCCCGCTACAAGGTGACTCATTCAGGAGGAGCCCGGGGTGCATTCCTTCGTGCCCAGAGCTGGTGCTGGATTCCAATGAGTGCAGAGTGGGCCTTTAGCGGTGGGTGATGGTGGAGGGGAGGGCCCCCCAGGAGGAAGCTGCGGATCGGGGGCAGATAGCCCTGCTCAGAGCTCCGACCCTGAAGTCCTCGCCAAAACCCTGCGATGCTTACCACTGCCAGATCCTTGGGCCTTCAAAGACATCCCAGTTGGACCCCTGTCTGTGTGTCAGGGGACTCTGGGGCCCGCCACTTTGCTGCCAACAGGCTCTGATTTGAGGCGATTTCCACGACGTCTCTGGTCCTTGGTTTCCTTACATGTCTGTTGAGCGAGGGGATTAAACTTTCAGGATCTGCTAATTCTAATGACTGGCGGCTGGAAAGCACAGAGGGAAGCTCTGGGTTTACAGAATTGGAACCGTAAGCTGTGGCAGGAGACTGAAGGTCTAAAGGGGTCCCCCAGTGTTGAATCCCAGCCGATCATGAGTACCTTAGAATACGGATTCTGCTTTGTCAGATCTTCCCATTTTTCCAGAGTCTGGGGTTTCAGAACTTTTTAAGTACTCTGTTGGGTTATGTAGAATACGACAAAAACCCCTGTGTTGGCCAAAGAGAACGTATCTCAGAATAAGTACAGCTCACTGGGATGCCAACTTAAAATTCCCGAATAGATGATCAAGAATCTCTTTGGGGGCCAGCCTGGTGGCGTAGTGGTTTCGTTTGGCAGCTCTGCTTTGCGCCCAGGATTTGAGGTTCCAATAGGGGCCGGGACCTACACACCACTCATCAACCTGCTCTGTGGCAGCACCCCACATACAAAACAGAGGAAGATTGGCACAGATGTTAGCTCAGGGCCAATCTTCCTCACCAAAGGAGAAAAAAAGAAACTCTTTGGGTGGTGCCATTCTGTGATTCTGCCTTTCCTACCTTGTGTGGAACTAACCCCACCTTCCTTCTCCCCTTTTTAAGCATTTTATTTTTTCCAGCTTTATTGAGATGTAATTGACGTATAACATTGTGTAAGCTTAAGGTATACAACATGATAATTTGATACACGTATACATTGTAACATGATTACCACAGCGAGGTTAGTTAACACATTCATCACCAAACATAATTACAGTTTTGTGTTGTGTGTGTGGTGAGAACTTTTAAGATCTGGTCTCTTAGTAACTTTCAAGTATGCAATATAGTGTTGTTAACTATAGTCACCATGCTGCACATTAGATTCTCAGAAATTATTAATTCTGTATCTGGAGGTTTGTACGCTTTCACCAACATCTCTCCATTTCTCCCACTCCCCACCTCCTGGCAACCACGATTCCACTCTGTGCTTCTATGAATTTGGCTTTTTTCCCCTTAGATTCTACATATGAGTGAGATCATACAGTATTTGTCTTTTTCTGTCTGACTTATTTTACTCACTTATATTGCCCTCAAGTTCCATCTGCATTGTCCCAAATTGTAGGATATCCTCCTTTTTGCAGCTAAATAATATTCCAGAGTGTGTGTGTCTGTATGTACACACTGTTGTATACCATCCATTCATCTGTTGATAGATGCTTAAGTTGTTTCCATGTCTTGGCTACTGTGAATAATCCTGCAATGAACTTGGGGGTGCAGACATCTCTTCAAGACAATGGTTTAATTCCCTTTGAATATTTACCCAGAAGTAGGATTGCTGGATCATATGGTAGTTCTAGTTTTAATTTTTTGAGAAACTTTCATACTGTTTTTCCTAATGGCTGTACCATTTACAGTCCCACTAATAGCGTGCTAGAGTTCCCTTTTCTCCACATCTTCACCAACACTTATTATCAGTTGTCTTTTTGATAATAGACATGCTAACAGGTGTGAGGTGATGGTTCACTGTAGTTTTGATTTGCATTTCCCTCATGATTAGTGATGTCGACCATCTTTTCATGTACCTTTTGGCCATTTGTAGGTCTTCTTTGGAAAAATATCTATTCAGCTCCTCTTTTTATGTGAAAGAAGCCAATCTGAAAAAGCTACATATTGCAAGATTCCTACTGTATGACATTCTGGAAAAGGCAAAACTATGGAGACAGCAAAAGATCAGTGGATGTCAGGGTTGGGGAGGGAGAGGTGAGCAAGCAGAGCACGGAGGATTTTTAGGGCAGTGGAACTATTCTTTTGATGCCATAATGGTGGATACATGTCATTACACGTTTGTCCAAACCCACAGAAGTGCAATACCAAGAGTGAACCCTAGTGTAAACTATGACCTTTGGGTGACATTGATGTGCCAATGTAGTTTCATTGACTGTAACAAATGTACTACTCTGATGAGGGATGTTGATAGTGGGGGAGGCCTTGCATGTGTTGGGGCAGAGAGCATATGAGAAATCTCTGCACCTTCTACTCAGTTTTGCTGTGAATCTAAGACTGTTCTAAAAAATAAAGTCTATTGGGCTAGCCCCCATGGCCTAGTGGTTGAGTTCAGTGTACTCCACTTCAGTGGCCTGGGTTTGCTTCCTGGGTGCAGACCTACACCATTCATCATCAGTGGCCATGCTGTGATGGCTGCTCACATACAAAATAAAGGAAGATTGGCAACAGATATTAGCTGAGAGCAAATCTTCCTCAGGGAAAAGAAGAAAAGAGTTAAAAAAATGGGTACAAATTTTCTGTAGTTTGATATCAATACATATAAAAAGCCTTGAAAATTTTACACCTTTTGGGGCTGGCCCATGGCTGAGTGGTTAAGTTCATGTGCTCCACTTTAGTGGCCCAGGGTTTCGCCAGTTCTGAACCTGGGGGTGGACATGGCACTGCTCATCAGGCCATGCTGAGGCGGCATCCCACATGCCATAACTAGAAGGACCCACAACTAAAATATACAACTATGTACTGGGGGGATTTGGGGGGAAAAAGCAGAAAAAAAAAGAGAAAAATTTACACGTTTTAATGCAGAAGTGATAGTTTTATGAGTTTATCCTATGAAAATAATGAACGAAGCAGGTAAAGATTCACGACGAAGATGTTCATAGCAGCATTGTTTGGTATAACAAGGAATTGGAAACAAGCTGAATTTCCCACAACTTGATTAAAATGTATTTTATGAAATACCATGTGACCATTAAAATTTTTTTAATCAATAATAAATTGACAGATTCAAAAATCAAACATACACAAAATTATACATTGAGAAGTAATACTCTCACCCTTCCTCATCTATTTCATTCTCCTGGCCCCCTTTTATTTCTTTCCTTTATATTCTTGGAGTGTTTCTTTTTGCAAATACAATGATACAACTCATTTATTCTCCTTTAAGAAGTTTCCAGGGGTCAGCCCCGTGGCCGAGTGGTTAAGTTCGTGCACTCTGCTTGGGCAGCCCAGGGTTTCACCCGTTCGGATCCTGGGCGTGGACATGGCACTGCTCATCAGGCCATGAGGCAGCATCCCACACAGCACAACCAGAAGGACCCACAACTAAAAATACACAACTATGTACTGGGGCGGGGGCAAGGGGGAACTTTGGGGAGAAAAAGGAAAGATAAAATCCTTAAAAAAAAAAAAGAAGTTTCCATATCAACATATGGAAATATGGAGTGTTTCTTTGTTCTTCTTTTGCTATTGTGGAGTGGTCCATTGTGTGGACATACTACAGATTTTTTTAAAGTTCCCTTGCTAGACACAGTGGTCGAACATTTTCAAAATATGCCTGTTAAATTACAAATTGAATTATTTTCCACTTTTTAGCTATGTATAGCACTATAATATGAAATTAGTAGTGCTTCAATGAATCACTTTATATATAACATCTTTTTGAATAGATGCGAATATATTTGGATGATAAATTCCTGGAAGTGATATTTCTGAATCAAAGAGTAAAAGCATTTTTTCTTTTTTGGATTGGCACCTGAGCTAACATCTGTTGCCAATCTTCTGTTTTTCCTTCTTCTTCTCCCCAAAGTCCCCCAGTACATAGTTGTAAATTCTAGTTGTAGGTCCTTCTGGCTCTGCTATGTGGGATGCTGCCTCAGCATGGCCTGATGAGCAGTGCTAGGTCTGCGCCCAGGATCCGAACCGATGAAACCCTGGGCTGCCAAAGTGGAGGGTGAGAACGTAACCACTCGGCCATGGAGCCGGCCTCAAAAGCGTTTGTAATTTTGGTAGATATGGGACACTGAACTCTGTGGGGGTCTCACCATTTTGCACTCTCCCGGTAAGCAGTCTTTGGTAGAGGTGAGTGCTGGGGGCTTCCCTTTAATCAATAATCGAATATCTGTTGAGTCTGAAGAAGGCCATACTCAGAAGCCTGGTTTCTCGCTGGTGCTGTTCTCTCACACCTGTCCTCAGTTCAGAATCCAGAGTGTCTCTCAGTCAACACATGGTGGGGGGGGGGGGGGGCACTGTTCCCCAGAAAATGACCTCGTTATTTTCTGTGTGTCACTCACAGAATAATTAATAATCAAATTAAGAATGTGCCCTTGTTTTTGACTGTAGACAAATTGTTAGGTAAACTCTTTAGTTACTTTGAAAATAAATGTAGTTAAGTTCTATGAATTAGAGTTGGAAAAGGTGGAGCATAGTTAATGGTTCAAGGTG